CTAGTGCTGGCCTATGTCAAGCATTCTGAGGTGCCTACACCTCCAACCGCTCAATCAGACAATCTGGAAAGAAACTGACAGCACGAACGCCACTGATATCGATTAGCCACCATTTCTTACAACGTCTCCAGCCAAGCACAGACGGGGTCACGGGGACCCCATCCTGGAAGGCGCACAACACCAACAACACCTAAACCCTTCGTGATCTCTTTCACACCTTTCTGCCAAGTCATGTGCTGTTCACCTCGCGGTTTTCGCCATCCTGAAAGAGGTACGGAGAACAACACTCGTCTCGGTGGACGGTTTCGGCATACATAGCACATGACCGAGCTATCGTAGTCGATGATGGGTGTTTTCCCGGATTGAGGTAGCTGCAGCACAACCAAATACCCGTTTTCTGATCAGCTCGTTACTAACACTGACACCATCCGCAACCAGCCACGCTTCTGAGGCATCAGTTGTCGAAAACCTGAAGACGCCTCACATCATCTACCCGCAGAGACCATGTCTCGCACCCATACAACAACACAACCCTTACTGTAGCCTGGTACACACGACCCTTAAGATCCAGTGAGATGCCTTTTTGGCGCCACAGGTGACGCAAATTAGCAAACGTGATTCGAGCCTTCGAGATTCTTGCACTGAATTCATCACACGCACCTGAGTCAGAGCTAATACAACTACCGAGGTATGTAAAATTTTCCGCAATTGCCAGTGATTCTGCTTGAATTGTAAGGAATATGTTCGCAGACGGCACGTTCTGAAGCATGACTTTGCACTTTGAAGGTGCGAGGCGCGTGCCAAAAGACGGAATGATGGCGATCAGTCGATTCAACAGGACTTGTGCTTCGCTTTGGTCTTCAAAGATGAGGGCGATGTCATCTGCGTACTCCAGATCGACAAGGCTCTCGTCAACAACAATTTGAACACCGGAGTTTTGAAAACCGTCCATTGTTCGCCTCATCATTTCATCGATGACGAAGTTGAACAAGAATGGGGAGAGTGGACATCCTTGTCTGACACCAGCTGTGCAGCAGGGACTGCGGTCTGAAGATCGTGGTTTAACCGATGTGGTGACGGATACCAGAAAAACCCTGAGTAGTTAAGTCGATCAGTTGTTTGCTGAATGACCTGGCCACCAAGAAGGCTATTCAGGTAGGAGCGATGTACATAGTCAATAGTTTAACCAGAAATACTGGAATTATGTTGCTTTTCGATACACGGTAGCTCTCCCAGTTTGCATCTAACCTCGTCACTTGGAAATTTGGGAATATACGATACGCAGCTATTGTTTCGGAAAGGTTTGGTAGGCAACCGATAGGTATATAGCTAGAGAAGGTTTTACTTTTGATGTGATTGCCGGAGGTTACGAACTAATGCATATAACCCGTTCACGTAGCGATTGAGGCTACCCTGAACAATCGGCGTGTCTACGCGGGAGGCAGCGTCGCGAGAGGAAAAATATGGCTGAACAGAAAAGAGAATGTGCAATCAGCTAGTGAAAAATAGTGTGGAAATCGCATTACACGGGGAAATCAAAAGCTCGACCACAGGACGAGTAAAACTGGTTCAGTAGACGGTCACAAATTATTCGTGAACGAGGTTTTGGTTATATGTAGATTCGAAACCAACTGGTGCAGTCCCCGGGGTGCGTCTCAGAAGATGTTGGCCAAATGGCTGAAACAACAAAATAAGTGTTAAAATGATTTTGCTTATCTTGGATAAGATCTAAGATGACGGACACATGAACAACCTCAAACATTAGAAGCCGAACTGGGTGGAGCAGAGGCAGCAGTATGAGAAGTAAAGAAGTCAGTTGCATTCTATTAGATCGTGAGCTTCAGGCCTCATACTTCTCAAGGGCAAGATGTAGCGGCACATGGCTTACGTCTGACAACAACGAGCCTATGATGCGTCCAGTCTAGGAAGCCACTGTAGCGACAAGTTTCACGTAAAACAGATCCAACTGCCACTGTAACAACGAGCCTATGATGCGTCCAGTCTAGGAAGCCACTGTAGCGACAAGTTTCACGTAAAACAGATCCAAGCTTCGGACCCTAAGTCTGACAAACAGTCCGGGCTGCGTGGATCAGCCATGTTGATAAGTGATTCACATTGTGCATACCTGCCCATTCGAAACTTCAGTCGACATTTGAATGAATATGAGTGGCCAATATGGGCTTACCACTAATAAGAATCTGACTGCCAATGATTCCAACTAATCCAAGGGTAATCTGGCTTGCGATTCTTCCATCCAAAAGTGCATCAAACGTATATTCACAACCGAAGTGATTAACCGGTCTCACGCAGGTTAAAAAACTCAGTTCTTAACGACCACCACTACACCGTATGTTCGGACATCAATGCGAAGCGTTGGAAGTTAAAAAAAGCGTGTTGCTACTAATGACTACACAGAGGGCGTTGAAATTAACCGATATACACACTATATAAGTTAATGCAGACAGGTTGTGTTGTATCCTCCAAACTGACAATAATTCGGCGGGAATTTTGAAGGCTCACTTTCAGATATACCTTCTGCCACAGGTGCCTACCAGCGAAAACCAGGTGAGGAAGAAACAAATTTAATCGGAAATCCACTTTTGAGCGAATCGAACAGAAAGTCCAAAGTGGTTTTCTTCGATTGCATCAGTGTGTCCGTATGCCAGTAGAAAGGAAAAATACAAAGGAACATACAAAATTATTTTCGAGTAAAATGGTTGAAGGCCATCCATTGCCTTAGCATGGGATCTGCATTGCAGTGGTAGTTCGGCAGAACGAATTCTTGGTAGAAAATGTCGCTAACTGACGCCAGATGGAATGACGACGGCTGGTGCAAATAACCCGCAAACTGTATACACCTTCAAAGATGGATTCCTACCTTGGCAACAATCTACTTTATATCTTATAGCAGACGGAGGTTTATTGATTCAACAGCGACCAATGAGCGGTCCCCACATTGTGATAAGTAAGGGATCCATCTATCAGTCACAACCTTTGGCAGATGAAAGTACGGTGTAGTTATAAACACCTTGACTCATTGCTGACCGACTTGTGTTTGCACACTGCATACTACAAGCGAAGTCCATAGGCATAGTAGTTCATGTAATAACCTTGATAATCCTTTTTGGACTGCTGGAGTCAAATGCCGTTCGCTTTGACGGAAGCAAAACAGAGTACGGTTCGACGTAATAATAGTCGTATCATGCTTCCTGGACGATTATCTTTGACACATCTAACTGTATTTGTCAGGAGAATGAAGTAACTTACCGGATTCTGCTTTAACGGTTCGCTCGGTGGAGAATTTGTAACTGTACAGGTAGGTGACAGTCGTCGGAGCTCATGAGTAGATTCCTGAAGAGAGCTTCCAACGGTATTTTCACCACCACTTCCGGAAAGATCCAGTACGGCACGTACCCGACAAAACTTTTTCTTCAATGCGCGCGCAATGATGGCGCATGCATCCATTTCGCTGTAAGAAGAAAACTGAAGACCAGAGACGTTCACCTAATGAGCACTAGTCACAAAGGACTTATACGCAAAGCCTTCAATGTGATCTGTGGGATCGCGTTAGTCCCCCAAGCTTTGCATACAGGCGCCACATAAAGCTACAAAACTCAAACCTTGGTAGGTTGGGTAGGTCACTCCGGCTAAATTAGTCTTCAATGCGGGGCATGGTTAACGTTCCGTCGAGTCGCATGCCAGCTTGCTTGATAGGGTGAAATAGACCTCTCATTGTTTTCCCATTGTGGGTACACATGCATCTACACTACTCTATTTAGACAGGATGATGTTGATGATTATCCGCAAACAAGTGCTCATGTCCCATTCGTTTGTTCCCGGCTAGATCACCAGTGTTGTCCTCAAACTTGCTTGGTAATCCAACTCAAATGGTGCTCCTACAACGGCTGCGCAGCTCTCACAACCGATAGGCTTCCTGAGTTCAGTAAACCGACTCCGCGCCCTGCTCGCATTAGTTACTATCGAAATTCGACCTCAAAAACCATGCATTTTTGAACCATATTCTCTGATAACTAAGATGTGTAAAGGCACCGCATTTGGTTAAATTTTACGCCCTCTGGAATATTGATGAATACCATACTTTGAGACCTCTAACGATCTCTGGATCAGTACTTTCCGCAATTCCGATGTCAATAGATAAGAGCGCTCAGAATTGAAATTTTACGTCCTGACTCTTGGACTGAGGGTCGTAGGGGCATCCAGAACATTTATTATTACCATCCAGCTTGCATGCATGCCGAAATCGCTCGGACAAGGAAATGCTGGTCAATAGCATATTGGCACTCATTTGCATGTGCTGCTGGGAAGCTGTTCAGTGATGCCCCTTTTATTTCGTACACGTAACATGGGACGATAGCTCAAACTAGACAGCCTCCCTTTTCAAAGTCTCCATTTCCAGAACTTTTATCATGCACACGGCATCAAAAGTAAGCATCCAATTCAATGGCTATTAAAGTTACGGATTCATGAGATCAGGTTTCGGCTACCTACCTACGCCTACCTAGTCCACCATCTGCGGATTCCGAGGAACCGTCTCTTGCTACATACATCAAACATCTAGTGATTTTTATTGGAACTTGTGTGGTGGTTCCCCAGAAAAAGCGGTACGTTCAGGGGCCAACTACTAGACAGTGGTACTTCTGAGTGGTAGTGAGTGGTACTTCTGAGTGGTACTTCCAAGGTGCAAATCCTCATAGAGGACCCTTGACGACAGTCGGTAGCTAGATGTCACTTAAGGGACAGCAGTAGTGAATAATCCTACGGAAAAAAACCGTAACTACAACCAAGCAGTTGGATTCGGACTGATGTCACGACGGTCTGTTTCGAGGCGCACGCGCTAATCATTCGGAAACTGGTCACGTTCATGCGGAACGCCCCGTGATTGCTACAAGTTACAGATTCATAAAACGCCAATCGATGCTTGCACACCAACGCTGTATACATCACAGGCAAACTCCACAGCTTTAAAAACCTACTTGTTCGATTCAATCTGATGTGCCCGAATGGGCGTACCACCGGGTGAGCGAGGTACAGAGCGTAGCTTGATCGACCCGGACTGTAATTCCCGAAGCACTTGATTCATATCAGAGGGCTTTTGTGGCACTGCAGGTTCGGATTTCAGACCCGGTGAAGACTGAAAAATCAGTGTGAAATGCATAAAATAATGAAGAATATCATATTTTTTTAAGGGTAATTATGTCTACACTGCAGCTGAAAGCGACCTGTATGACTTATTTTATACACAATGAGGCTCCTCCGACATCTTTTTGCAATAACTGCTTACAATGGTTCTCAATATGGTGCCTATCAACATTCCTGGCATGAAACCGGGTAGCTGAATACAGTGGTGTACATGTGTGTTTGGAAGAACCGGCAAATAGGAGGACAAGATAAATTGTAAGACGGAATTCGCTAGGATATTGGTCCACCACTGACTACAACACGCAGCTGTGTCAGCAAATTTATACAACCGCTGCTTAGTACTCCTGCCCAACCTCCAATCAGGTTAGGAACATCTATCCAGTGTTTAACACACTGACAGCAACTGGAAGTGACATTTTCGGACCTCACCTCTTCTGAGCTGACAACCTACACTGCTCAACTTTGAGAAATCGGTGGAACGATGAAGGGGCAACTTCTTAAACCACTGGACTTGATGAACTCAGACGACAGCTTGCTGTATAACCGTACGCGTCCACAGGAGTTAGCATATAGTGGCCCTACAAGAAATAAAAATTTAGAGGATACATTGCCTGAGGGCATGTTTTATTCGTAAGAATATAGAATCTGTTAGACTATTAAAGGGACTTTCACTCGTTTTGGTCACCGACGCACCTAATTAGTTGGTAGTGGTGTTCGTAATGAAAATATATTAATTCGATATTGATAATAGATAGATACATATGCACCTGTCCGACCCTTATTAGTTCGTTCACACCAGATCAAAAGGCAGTTAGATTCTGTTATAATTAACGGCACACAACGCATTCAGAACACATGACAGTTCAACCCGCTTCTGCGTGTTGCTTTGCAAACACAAGGCAAACCATTTTTCACGAAACGGATGACTGCATCAAATCAGGGGCTCGTGCAAGGGTGTGAAAAATAAAAATAGCTCGACTGGTCTGCAAGGTTGATATTAGTGTAGTCGGAAAAAGACATCCAAGACCCAGACGGCAAGAATGTTGTCGTTCAATTAAGTTTGTGTGGACCTCACTCCTCTAAGAAACCAACCACAATGAATGAACTTACTCCATATTTTTGTTTTCTGATTTCAACCAGACGTGCCCTCCAATCCTCTTTAGGCGCAGGTGGCGAAGGAAGTAAGGATAGTGGAGGGGGAGGAGGGATGATAACTGGTGTGGGTGGTGGAGCTGGATGATATGGAGTGGAAGCACGGCTTTCTTCGGAATCCAAAACCGCAGGGTGTGATAACTGCTTATCGCCTGTTCCAACAGGATCAATGTCACTTTCTCCATCTCCCTCTAGTCGAGGTTCATATTCTTCGCTCGAGCCGGCCAGTAGCTGTTTGCCTTCCTGCATTACGATCAGCCGGGCTAACTGGGATCGCAATCGAGACAATTCAGTTTCCAGTTGACTGATCCGATGCGCATCTGGGAGCTGATGTCGGGGTTCGTGACCACGGTGGTGACTAGCTTCGTCCGAACTTGATCCTCGGTACATTCGACTATTATTGGTACGCGGACGTAATACCACATGTCCTGTTGTTCGATGAACATCGCCTGAAGCGTCGTAAAATAAGTTAAGTATCTGGTTTCGACGATTGATGAAGCACAGCGAAATAAAGTGGTGCACAGAGAAAGCCTATCACACAATACAGGGAACTTCGATTCCAATTGCAAGGCATTTACCGCACTCATACAGTAATCAGTGACTGATGATACACATCAAATCAACTGATTTGGAAATGCAAAAGAGGGAAAATTCATAATAGATTGACGTGAGATACAAAACTAGAGATCTATAATCACAATAATTCAAACTAGTTGGCTTGTTTACTGAGTGCCACAAAAATCACATGAAAACCATGTAGGAAAATTCAAGACATGGAGGATAAGCGTTAGCCCTAGCCATGAACAACTTTAACTGGTAAAGAACTTGGAACACAAGATGGTCTAAAATTGTGAAGCCACGTCCTCATATGTGGACTTTCACCTAATAGCAGTGATTAGAACCGAGCAGACTAGTCGCCAAGATGTCTGGTCTGCGAAGTAGATAGAAGATACGAGGTCAGAAGAACCCTAGTCGTCGTAATATGAAACAGAAGGCCACGTCCTGAAAATGGAGAAGGAGTTCAAAGTCATCAACCAGAATAAGAAAAGTAATCAAGCGCAGAAATTTCCACCAAATAAGATCAGATTAAAGGATAAGTGGAAAGGTCCAATTGCATATTTGTCGTAGTGAGGCGAACCGGACACGTAGACGAGCGTAAGGTAAAACGGAAAGGAGTCACGGTAGCCGAATAGAAAAATCTGGCTTTGTTATAGACCCGAAGAAAGGCAAATGTTAATAGGCACACTTAATGTACTCATTTTGAAGACAGTATCAGTCCACAGAAAATATTTTCCAGGAAACGCTGAGGAATACCTAAATAGGCAAGCATCATATTGCGTTAGCTTGCGTTTCAATTTGCCCTCGTCTCTTTATTTAGATCTGTAACTAAATTCGCATAGGTAAATTGGCACATAAACGTAACGCTAAGGGTTGGTACCATAGACCAAATACTCAACTTTCCTATGTTTTGAGATGAAAGATAGCCCACAACTTCATCTAGTAGGTTACCGTCTCCAAACCTATGGATTTATATGATTTTTCACCAACAACTCTTGTTTATTATAGAGCTCTTGTGAACAGCAAAGCAATTAATTACCATAGAAACATAATAAGAATTGCGAACAGGGTTTTTTCACACTTCTAACGATAGCAGCCTAGAAACAGTTCACCGGCTGAGTAAAACAATGAACAGCGGAGTTGAGGAAAATCGCGCATTGTGGCAAGGTCAACTTTAGTGGCAAGCCTAAGAAACAGCCTGCTGGGTGGGCTATGCGCACTCAACTCATTCCAAGGCATGCTTGGGTATGTGATATCGTGTGCCAGTTTCACCTACCCGATTGCATGCTCGTTAGGCCTACCTCCATTATCCTTTGAATGTCCGTCAACGTATCAGCAAACCTGCCCTTGGTTTGTGATGTGACGAAGGCGTATTGCAACCACAAGCGCACGCAACATGTAACCCAGGGGTGAATGTATAAGAAACACGAATTAGACTGTTTTTACGTGCCTACAGAACTCATGTTTTTGCAACGTTTTACCCGTGCGGTATTTCTCTGATAATCCCGACCACGATTAAGGGACTCTTGAAGTGCAACATGTCCTAACGATGAGTCTGCCATTACTAATACATGAGATTCACCGCTTACCGGAAACCAAACGTTAGATATACAAACGAGTGAAGAGTTATGTAGATATCAGATTAACCCTAACAACCGTCAATTTTCGAATCTGGAGGACCTCATCCCCGTGGACCCCTGGAAATTCTCTACCGAGATATTCTGTTCGGTTAGAGAACACTGTCACAGAAATCTGTGAGATGCATACTGTTGACGATTCTCAACAAGGATGAAACAGTGATGCGATTTTTCTCGGTTCTTCAGGATAAAAATTCAACCGATAGTGACAATAGAAATAAGTAGCAAAGCAAAAGCACCTTGAAATTGAGTCGGTTCCGAAAGCGGTTTGGTGATACGATTCCTCAGGTTTTTGGACCATCCATTTCGGCCTGAAGTCCGGACGGGAACGTATGAACAGTGGCTGTTAGGACGCGCAGACGACTTCGGTCCTCCACGCACATAGACAGGTACGTGAACACGTTCAGCAGAGCAACCGCGAGCAGCTAGCTGTCGATACCGATGTTTTCTGGCACATTCAGAAACGGTTCTTTCTTGGTCGGAAAAAGAGCGCTCTTCATATGTCCCAGGCTTAGTTGAATTCCAGTGTCTCAGTTCAGTTTTCGCGAAGCTGCTGGACGTGGGAGTAGATGTGAGCGTTGCACCCAGATTGATTCCTTCATTGTCTTCATCAAAATCGGTGAGGCTGCTGGTGGTGGTATAGGTCTAAGAGAGGTAGAAGGAATACAAAAGCTTTGTAATTGAACTCAAAGATCTCAGTAATTGTGGACAGTATTGGAGCAGTAATGATGATCGACCAAGATCAGCAAGACCAAGACTATCATCAACGTCATCAAAAACAGCAACATCAGTGTTGATGCTGATGTTTCAATGCCGTACAACCATAAACTTCATCTAATTTAAAGCTTTAGAGTGAAAAAAAGAATGAGTGAGGAAGCGGACCTAAAGCTGGTATATGTCAAGCATTCTTAGGTACCTACATCTACAAGCGCTCAGACGATTTGGAAACTGACATCAACCAGCCACTACTTCTAGCGATATATTTAATCGGGTGCAGAATGAGTCACTCCACCTGAAAGGTGTACAACAACAACACCCAAACTTTTCACACCCTTCTGCCAAGTCATAGGTAGTTCACTCGCAGCTCACGATATTCTTGAGGCATCGAGAACATTCGTGTTGGGAATGGTGTTTTGAACTGCGGGTAGTTCACTCGCAGCTCACGATATTCTTGAGGCATCGAGAACATTCGTGTTGGGAGATGGTGTTTTGACATGCGTAGCACATAGCCGAGCCAATGTAGTTTATGGTGCTGGATGTTTTCCGTGATTGAGTTACTTGCTGCACAAATAAACACCTGTTTTGTAATTACCTTGTTACTAATCCGTTGACGCCATCCAGCACCAGCAGCGCTTTTGAGACAAAGGTGGTGAAAAATCTGAAGACGCCTCACATCAACTGTCTATAGACGCTACGTCTCACAGTCATACAACACAACGCTTACAGTAGCCTGGTACACGCAACCCTTAAGACCCGGTGATTTGCGTTTTTGGCGCCGCACGTGACGCTACTCAACAGACGTGATTCAAGCTTTTGCGATTCTTGTACTGACTTCATCAAACACCGTTCCGCCAGAAGCAATCCAACTACCGAGGTAAGTAAAATTCTTCACGACCTCTAGTGGTTCTCGTTGAATTATAAGGGTTAAGTTCAGAGAGACTGCATGTTTTGAACCATGACTTTGCACTTTGAAGATGCATGGCGCATATCGAAAGATGGTATGACAGTGGCCAGTTTATTCAACGGGGCTTTTGCTTCGGCTTGGTCACCAAAGATCAGAGCAACGTCGTCTGCGTGCTCCAGATCGACAAGGGTCTCACCGGTAACAAGTTGAACACCGGGGTTTGGAAGACCTTCCAGCGTTCGCCTCGGTACTTCATCAACGATGAAGTCAAACAAGGACCGAGCGAGTGGACACTCTTGTCGGACACCACTTTTTGTAGGGAAGCATTTACAGAGCCCACCTCAGACTCACTCCCAGAAGTAGGCGAATATAGAGATCGGATTATGTCCACAAATTTCTGAGGCATATCCTATTGAGCAAGTATAGTTAACACCACTGACCGACCTCCCAGCATCCTTGAAGTCAAGGAACAAGAAGACTGTGGATCCTCTGCACATGAAGCGTTGTTTTAACTCCCGATGGAGCGTGAAGACGTGGTCAATACAGCCCCTACCAGGTCGAAATCCCACATGATTCTCACGAGTCAAGGTTTCGCGTGTCATAGTAAGACATCAAAGAATCACTGACGCCATAAATTTTGTTGCAACGGGAGTGAAATTAACACCTATGTGGTTACTACATTCACTGCTAGTATCATTTTTGAAAATGGAAACTATTATTGGCTCACCCCAGTTGTCTCGAACAGTCTCTCCCAATCAGACCCGTGGTAATCAAACAATATTAAACGACGTAAATAATTCCGCCTCACGGTTTGGCATGCGCTTCACATATGCAGGGTGTAAAGTGCTACTGTAAGACTGGATCGACTCGAACCCTAGCCTCATGCTTACGGATGACCGAGGTAATAGACAAATTTGTTTACCTGGCCAGCTATATCAGTCCCGGTGGCCTCGCGAAGGATGGTATTTTCATCTGGATTGGGAAGGCCAGAGCAGCTTTTGTGAACCTGCCTCACCTGTGGCACAGGCTTGACATCAACTTCCCTGTCAAGGGTCGAGTTTACAATGCTGCGGTGCGCTCCATATTAGTATACGGCCAGGAACCTGAGTAAGAACGTCAAAAGACTCAGTGTTTGACCACTGCTGTTTTCGGAACATTGTGCGAGTCTGGTGAGAACACCAGATAAGTGATGTTGAAGTATATTGAAATAACTTGACCACGATGGATGAACTGATCACACTGCATCGGTTGCGCTGGTTTGGCCACGCGCTGCGTATGCCAGTCGACCGAATTCCTCGAAAGGGTCTTTTCGCACAACCACATGAAGAGTGGAAGAGAGCCAGAGGCGGTCAAACAATGACTTGGCAGCGAAGTATAAAAGCCATTACCAGAAAACTCAGCCGCGCTGATCACTGCCGTCTTCCTGGATGGGGACCGCGAGACGGACCATATCAATGGTTGGAGCCACTGTCACACATGGCCCAGTCACACCCTCAATGGCGCTCAAGCATCCAAACCTGCACTCCACAGCTCCCTTCCCATCCCCCACTTAATAGTCCACTGAGTGTTGTATTCACGCACTAATTTATCAGCTCCCGCATGCAGTGCGCAGCTACCTGCTTCTCCTCCCCAAATCATCGGTGAACGAAACTGTGGCAGCTACAACCACTGTAAGAAAAGTGCGCCGTCCCTACAGCTGACAATGATGATGATGAGATAGAACTGAACAGGCTAAACAGGCGATGGCTGACAAACCCATCGATATCCTTAAACAGAGCAGATGGATGGTCGTCAAGACCAGCAGCACAATGATGCTTGAGTAGAGAATACACTCGGACACTTCTGAGACCGAAGGCGTGTCCAGTGGCCTTTACATCATCTGAGGTGCTCAACCATGAGCTGGACAGAAATTGCGTGCTGTATCGTTGTTTCTGACGGACAGCATACATCAATACAGAGGTAATCCAGCATACGAGTAAGAGCCACCTGTTGTCCTGCCTGCTCGAGTGTGCGAACACTAAAGGCAGATAAGTAGACGGGATTTCGCAGATTGAAAACAGACTTCAAATTGTTTAGGATAGTTACTGAAGTCGGACGCGGAAAAGCTGCAGCTGGGATGGATGCATGGCGAGTAAAACGGTCAGTCCTTGGTGGGATGTTGTAGAAGAGCGAAACCGTGAAGGTATGGGTTTTCGCCTACCCGTTTTGTTGTATGCAGTAAATAAGGCCACCCAGCTGGTGACGCCACGCGACGACCGATATGGCATGAATGTTTTTAGCTTTATCATGGTTATACACGGGCTGGGATGCTTCCAATGCATCCAAACTTAGACAGGAGGACGATTAGGGTCCTCAACCAAAGCTCAAAAGCCTGACCGCAAGGCAGAAATGCAAGTCGCGACACACTTTCCAATCACCAACCTGGAAGGCCTGTGGTTCGAACCCGCCCTGTGCCTCTCGACTTCCTCTCTGTAGGCTTGAGCAACCTAGCAGTATCCCAGCCCTCGTGCAACCATCGGGTGGCATGGCAGTTAGGCACCAAATGGTTGCTACAGCTCAACAGCTGAAAGGATTCAGACCATTCGGTCAGTAAATTCGCGCTCTAACCACTGAGCAATTTCGCCCCGTAATGGTGGTCAAAAGCGCTCAATACATTATTGTATGTTAGTCGAAGAGTCGAAGTTCCGGAACTCCATACTGCAGCATGGTCGCAGAGCACAGAACAGGGTGCGCAATCATCATTACTGGGACCTGAGCGCTTTTTGATCCATGCTCCCACTGAATGAGTCTAGGTTTGACGGTGAATTCCCACGGAAGGGGTTGGCATCAACGGGAACAGCTTGATCTTTGCGCAGTCATTGTTCCAACTTAGGGGTTGTTTTGGATGAATGGGTACCAAACCAAACATGTGCGAAACAGTGGTTAGGACTACACTGGGGATTGTCCAGCGAACAATTTCAGCATTGATTCCAAGATTAGTATTTCCGAAAATGCCAAATACAGCTTCGTTCCACAAAATACGATAACTTAACTGAGTCAATGAATAAGTGTACTTATTTTATAAGGATGTGGCTAGGCAGTAAATGAGAAATAAAGTTAGGCAGTTTGAATATCTAATTCACCAGATGCTCGACGGCACTAGTAACTTACTTCGTCTGAGGCACACGTTCCACCAGAAAAATTCCATCTCATAGGAACAACGGTGGATGAAGGACGGAAGAGCTGCAAGTTCAATCGTGGAGCAGGGCTTCCGACAGGTAAGAGCAAACTCAGTCGGCGGAGAGAGCACACAGAGCGCAAAGAATATAGCTAAAGTGAACAAATCAGAGTAGCGAAGTAAGCACCCATACATACCAGAACCAGTAGGGCGTAGAACAAACAAATCAAGTGAACAGCACTACCCAAAGGAGATATTCCCTGGCATGGTTAGTCGAAATGGAAGAACAGCAGCTGAGTTGATGAAAAGGTGCCTACATCGAATGAAGCCAGCCAAGTATTGCGTGTAATTTCCATGCCTAGACAGGATATCTTCAACACAAAGACATCGAAACATTTTGCATTTTTTCCAAAGATCCCCCCATCTGTAACCCTTTCGGTACCTAGCAGCCATGTCACCCGAAGGAAGCTCGAGGGCTACGATACTGTCAGGTTGGCCAAATTTAAACGAGATGTAGAGATGAGATGTAGAGATGTAGAAGTCAGGTTCGAACAACAGATCTTCTGGTCAGGAAATTCGGCTCTAACCATCTGTAACCCTTTCGGTACCTAGCAGCCATGTCACCCGAAGGAAGCTCGAGGGCTACGATACTGTCAGGTTGGCCAAATTTAAACGAGATGTAGAGATGAGATGTAGAGATGTAGAAGTCAGGTTCGAACAACAGATCTTCTGGTCAGGAAATTCGCGCTCTAACCACTGAACCATCTGGAGCCATCATGAGTGAGTACGCCAGATGTTCTGACATAACGAGTTTCGAGAAAAGTGTGGCCTTACTTTAGTCGGGACGAAAATAAGCGTGACGCT